TATGGGGTGGGTAGAAGGAAATAAAATGAATGGTGGGTATCTCTGGTAGCTTTGATAAGTTTTGGCCATTCCATGCTCAGAGGGTCCCACTTCCAGAAGCCATTTTTTGGTAACACAGTTCCTGTGTAGTGCTGGAAGCTATGGCCCCTTCATCATCAGGTAACGGAAAGTGTTTGTAATGTGTCTTTCCATATAACAGTTTGCAGCAGGAAGAACAAATTGCCTTCTACAGTATTAGATCTTGCACAAAGCTAGGTCCATTTCAGCCTAATGCTGTCCTCAGTAGCAATATGATATAGGGAGACTGTTCTTGACTCGTAGACCTTTGATTTATTTAGGTAGTTCCGATGTCTACATGAAAAGCTTTTAAGCACTGCTTATTTTAAAAATATACAATGGAAACAATGCACCAGAAATTGAAATGGAGGAAGAATAAAACAACTGAAGGGATACAGATAACTTTTCAGGCAAATTCGTAGTAATAGTAAAATGAATTTAAAATATTCAGAGTTTTAAAAATAATTCTGTGAATTATTCTCAGAAAATATTTTATTTTCATCTTCTTTTTAAAGAGGTTTCAAAAAAGTCAAACTTTTTAAAATGGTCAAAATAATAATTTTTCAAATATTTTAGTTCCCTTTTCCACCCAAATTTATTTTTCCATGTAAAAAGAGGAAGAGAAAGAATGGAAAGGACATATGGAAGAAAATGGTTTGTTATTAATTTCCTTTTTAACTTCATTTCCTTTACTTTAATACAAAAAGTTAAAAGTAAGTTTTAAAAATAAATGATAGTAAAATGTTTCTCTCAAGGACATGTTTAAATTGTCAAAAATATTTGAGTAAAACATTTTGCTGGAGGTCAAAACACTAAACTAGACCTCCATACACATTTGACTGCTAATTCCCCATCCAGTCCAAATCTCTGGATCTGATTCCTCGTGATATTGATAATTGCATCCATTCCACATTTCATCTTTTGCTGTTTGTTTTAAAACCTATTTCTGGTAACAAAACTTCAGAGGCTGCATCCAGCAACTTGCAATATATCATGGGATTTTGGTACTTCCCCGTTGTTTGTAAAGGTATTCTATTTAACTCCTTAAAGTACCATATGAGGGGAAGAATCAGGAGGTTAACCAAACTGTTGGAAGTAATTTAAGAATTCTGTCAGGGTTTACATACTGACTTTGAGCCTCTGTTACTGGACAGGATGTACAAAGCACTACTTATGCACAGAGGTATTTCCAGTAAATTCAAAGTACCTGAGAAGTCTTGAAAGGAACTTCCAGTGAGATGAGCAAATATAAGCTATCACTTCATGGTGTACAGTGTGTTCCTTGAATTTATTTTGGGAAAATGTAATTTCCCTAGTCAATACATTATTCTAGACATTGCTCTGTTCCTCTCTCAATGTCTTTTTTTAAGGTATATGCAACAGCTTCCACATACATAGTTTCCTTTGCCCACTTCCTGTCATTAAAGCTCATGCGGAGACATGCACTGTGAGTCATATTTCCACAGTAACAGAGAAGACAAAAGCAAGTTTGGGGAATCAGGTAACCCAGAGCTTTTGTTGCAGCTATTTTTGAAGAGTCTTCACAGTGTGCAAAACCTACACTTTTGTTTTTATCCTTTTAGGTACTTTTCGTGACATTTCTGGCAAGTCAGAATAGACTGAATAGGCCTACATTCATCTTTGGCAGGGCCCACTTTAGGACACACAGTGATGTAATGTATGTATGATAAATAAATACTTTTGTGACACTGCGTATGGATGACTTATAGTAGCATCTGTCTTGAGCTACATAGCAAGCAAACCCATTGTCATTGCAAACTAATTTCCAAAGCGCTGAGCAACTTCAGGTGCTCTGCTGTAAATGGGGGCAGATTTTTAAAGTGAATTGAGTAACCTCTGAAGGTTCTCACCATCTGCAGTTGCACCTCTAGATATTCGAGCACCTTTTAAAAAGTAAGCCTGGAGTGCCTACTGTCAATCACTGGCAAGTCGCATGGCTGACTCCTTATATTAGTTGATGTCATCGCTGAAAGGCATAATACAATCATCCTGCTTGGAGTAATACAAAACATTTCTGGATTCAGTGGAGGATGAAATTTCAAGCAGCTGTTGCACTAATTCTATTTGTATTATTTACAGGTCTACAGACTTCTGCCATCTTGTATGCATGTGTTGTTTGCTTGTAGCCCTTGAGCTTCATCTAACTTTACCCTGCTTTAAAATTGCTGGAGCTGTGCCAAATGTGCCTCTCATGTACAGCAGCTACCTAAGCCTCCAGTTTTCTCTTCTCTTCTACTTGCTGGGTCCAAGCACACTGTATTGTTCTTCTGGATCTCTCATGATGAAACGCCCCCTATCTTGCACCATGGGTCCTGTGATAAAAAGGAGGTTGTAAGGCTGCCTGGCCAGTGCGTGAATTACAAGGCTGGTGGTGGAGAAACGTGAGATGAAGTGAAATGAAAGTGAAGCTAAGTGAACCTTGCCTACCGTGTACAAGACTAGATATGTCTGCATTTACTCATCAGGGGATGTTGCTGCCTCTTTCTCTTCTACATTTTAATATTGCATTTATTTTTAAAATGGGCAAAGTTTTGGTGGAAGGTGCTGCGGGTGCTTACACAGTCGGTGTAGGCTAAGTTTGTTCAAACTTCAGCAATTCTTCTGACGAGTGATGGAACATGACAGCTTTTGCTGTAAGAATATCGGTTTAAATCCATTTTCATGGTCAATAGTCAATGGAATTCATCAGTGCCTGAACCTCTCTCAGTGGTTTGTGCAAAATAAGCTGGAAATGCAACCTGAGTTCTAACCGCATGTACTTCCACATCACAAATAAAGTATTTGGAAATGATAATAGCTAGAGTACAAAAGCAGGAGGCTGCACTTGGGGTGCAGCAGAACCAAGATTAGGCAAGGGGAAGTGAAAGCATGAACCTCAGGCTTTGAATCCCATGGTGTGGATTTTAAGATCCAAAAAAGGGGACAGCATAGGAATAAAAGTGTGTATTGCACCCATATAGTGGTATGACTTCAAACACCTAGGAGGAATAAAAGAATTACAGATTAGATAGAAGTAACAGTTAAGGCTGGAAAGCGTCCATCTGAGATTAGAGGAGAAATTTAGGGAATACATGAGCAGTCTTTCAGGAGTAAGCAAAGTATTAGGAAATTACCATATAAGGATCACACATGGCCTGCCATCAGTACATACTTCTAAGCAAAGAGGGTTAGTCCTGGTCCCATGTAAGAGGTTCGACTTCTATTTATTTGACAGAGTCTGGGTTTCACTCCAAAATCGGAATGTGTGAAGTGTTTTAACTAGAGGCATAGGTAATCCACGGGTGGGTTGGAGTCTATTCCAGAGCTTCAAGTCCTACGCCCCTTTCTACTTTTTGTTCTTTGTAATCTTCTTTTGCAGTAGGAGGCATTTACACTGTGATCCAGACAAAAGCCAAAATTACGGCAGACGAATGGGGTGAAAACTATTTCCTGATTGGTCCCTATTTTGAGCACAATGTGAAGACTCAAGTGGAAGTGTGCGAGCCTCCAAACCCTGCGGTTAAGAAGGCAATGGACACCATAAAAGGCCAAGGGTGTCAGGTAAATCAGATGTGCTACTGCTTCCTAAAGCAACTAAGCTGACTCTGAGGAGATTACAATTTTGGTTAATGCTCTTGCTGTTCCACTTGACACAGCAGTCCTGGTCAATGACACAATGGGAAAGGCTCAGAATCCACTGTTAGAGCAGCAAAGTCAATTCATTAAAGGTTATTTTTGAGGAAGAACCAGTTTATCCAATTACAGGTTTTAACAGTCATTTATCTGCAAGTCTACTTAACTGGATTAATGACTTATTTCTCTAGTCTCTAAATACAGTGAGATTTTAGTAGACATAATATAACCTTACTTTGACTGAACTCATGTATTACATTTGGTCTTCTTGTGCTGTTAATAAACTTGGACAGAGAAAAGCTTTTCACCGTATCACAGTTTTTCTTTTGTAGCGCTATAGTGACTTGAAAGCCAAAAAGGGATAAACCACAAGTGGATTTAAAAAAAAGTACTCAGCTGACAAAGAATCTGCTTCTCCAGATCAAAACAATTAGTTGTCCATTCCCTAGGAAGAGAGGTTAAAGTATTGCGCAGAGTTTTTAACCAATGTTTTCTGTGTGATCTGTCAATGTGTGTGACCTTGTAGGCTCTCCATGATTCAGTTTCTCCAATCACAAACCAGGGAGAACAAGGGCTTAAAAATGCTTGATTGAGTAGATGAAGGTGATCTGCTCAGCAAGTAGAATCTGTTGTGTGGATAGACAAACTACTAAGTTGCAAACAATTATAGCCTTGATTACCTGAAAACTGGTGAAAGATGATACAAGTCAAATATGACCTCCTTTCTTGAAAATCATCATCAGAAATATAGAACCCATCTTGACTGTAGTTCAACACTGAGTCTTCAGGGATGTTAGCTGGAAGGAGAAAAAGTTGTCTGCAGGTATTTGGAACAGATATGAAAACGCTGGGAGGCAACAGCCATGAGGCATTCTTACAATACTATATTGCTGAGGGGAATGATACAATGAAGGAATTAATAAACTTCTCACACTGCCACCAGCAGTGGTGATGTGTATCACTGGTGATGTGTATCACCCTTTGCAATGGCAGTTCCTGGGATGTAATGCCCTGTTGCATGCAGAAGTGTATTGCCAGGAGTACATGTGCAACAACTTGGGGAAGTGTCTGTTGGGACAATAACATTATGTGATGCTTGGCATTGTTCAGGCTGAAGTTCAAGCTGAAATGTCTAATCTAACTGCCCTTTCTTACTTCTGCTTAGATTTTCATAAATGATTGATCAAGGTTTTTATGTTGCTTCTGTTGCATACAAAGAGATGTCTGTGCAAGCTATAGAACACTCCTTTGTTTGGAAAATAGCTAAAGACTTGAGGGGCAGATTAACTGCAATGCTGTTTATACTTTACGTTGTTCCAGCAATACATTCAGTTTAACCAGCCAATCCTGGCAGCCTCACATGTACATAGTGCTGCTGGTGTACTCATTTATAGCAGCAAATCTGTCCCAGGTACGTCAAGTATAGTTTTGATCCGTAATAATGACGCTCTACTTTCCAGAAGCTGTGCTTATCCTATTAACATTTGTGTCTGGATTTTGCTTATGTGTCACAATGGATCCCTTCAGGAGACCTAGGAATGCTTCCAGACTCCTCAGGTCAGGTGTGGTCCTTGGCTACAACCTAACTCCGTATTTAGATAAAGTCTGGGTTCACACAGACTCTCTGCTCTCTAACCTCCTTTTCCTGGATAGGAAAACTGGACAGCCTGAAATAAGTCCATCCATAAAGACTTGAGCCTCCTTCACACAGGTCTTTGTTACACCCTTTATTCTTTGTGTGAACAGGTCTCAGAGCCTTTTTTTCATTGTTTCCAAGACCCAACCTCTGTCCAGCTAGGTCTAGTCAGTGCTGGGTTGAACCCTTGAGAACTAAGGGGTAGGTGCATAAAAAGAGACTGAATAGTGGCATAAAAGATTCCTTCCTATGAGGTACAAAGCATAAATGCACTGGCCTCCCTATGGTACCTCATTCTCCCTGGTTAATGTGCCTCTGCTGCTATAGCCATTTTGTTTGGTGGAATTAACATGAAATAATTTGACTACACAGACTGGTACAATCTGTAATGTGGGCCCAGCTGTGTTGTGTTGTCTCTGACAGTTCAGCCTTCTATCCTTGGGCAGGTACAGATATTGATAAGCAGCACCATTACATCAGTGTAGTTCTGAATATTCTTAGAGATGTTTAATGGCACTGACACAGGTTAAAGCAGGACAGCTATATTTTGTAAGCTGATGTCATTTTAGATATTATTACTCATTCTGATTGATTCCCTCACTCTGCCAAAGTACACCAACTATGCTGCATGGGCAGGACGAGGAAATGCGGTGATAGGTACAGATCCCAAGTTTCTGTCCTACAAAGAATCCCATGGGATAGGGCCCTGGAAGAAAGAGGGGTTCAAGAGAGCTGGTTAATACTCAAGGATCACTTCCTCCAGGCTCAAGATGGGTGCATCCCTGTAAGCAAGAACTTGAGCAAAGCAGTCAGGAGACCTGCATGGATGAGCAAGAAACTCCTGGCGAAACTCAAACATAAACAGGAAGTAGACAGAATGTGGAAAAGGGGACAGGCCACTTGGGAGGAATACAGAGACGTTGTCAGAGTATGCAGGGATGCAATGAGGAAGGCCAAGGCCAATTTGGAATTAAATCTGGCAAGGGATGTCAAGGACAACAAGAAGGGCTTCTTCAAATACATCAGTAGCAAAAGAAAGACTAGGGAAAATGTTGGCCCGCTAATGAATGGGGCAGGGACCCTGGTGACAGAGGACACAGAGAAGGCAGAGTTATTGAATGTCTTCTTTGCTTCAGTCTTTACTGCTAAAGCCAGCCCTCAGGAATCTCGGACCCTGGAGACCAGGGAGAAAGTCTGGAGAGAGGAAGACTTTCCCTTGGTCGAGGAGGATCAGATTAGAGATCATTTAGGCAAACCTGATGCCCGCAGATCCATGGGCCCCAATGGGATGCACCCACGAGTGCTGAGGGAGCTGGCGGATGTCATTGCTAGGCCACTCTCCATCATCTTTGACAGGTCATGGAGAATGGGAGAGGTGCCTGAGGACTGAAAGAAAGCAGCTGTCACTCCAGTCTTCAGAAAGGACAAGAAGGAGGAGCCAGGGAACTTCAGGCCTGTTAGCCTCATCTCACTCCCTGGAAAGGTGATGGAACAGCTCATCCTGGATGCTATCTCTAAGCCTGTGGAGGACAAGAAGGTGGTCAGGAGTAGTCAGCATGGATTCACCAGGGGGAAATCATGCTTGACCAATCTGATAGCCTTCTGTGATGGAATGACTGGCTGGGTAGACGAGGGCAGAGCAGTGGATGTTGTCTACCCGGACTTCAGCAAGGCTTTTGACGCTGTCTCCCATAACATCCTCATAGGCAAGCTCAGGAAGTGTGGGCTGAATGAGTGGACGGTGAGGTGGATTGAGAACCGGCTGGATGGCAGAGCTCAGAGGGTTGTGGTCAGTGGCACCAAGTCTAGTTGGAGGCCTGTAGCTAGTGGCATCCCCCCAGGGGTCAGTCCTGGGTCCAGTCTTGTTCATCTTATTCATCAGTGACCTGGATGAAGGGACAGAGAGCACTCCCAGCAAGTTTGCTGATGATGCTAAGCTGGGAGGAGTGGTTCATACACCAGAAGGCTGTGCTGCCATTCAGAGGGACCTGGACAGGCTGGAGAGGTGGGCAGAGAGGAACCTCCTGAAGTTCGACAAAGGCAAGTGCAGGGTCCTGCATCTGGGCAGGAATAACCCCATGCACCAGGACAGGCTGGGGGCTGACCCGCTGGAAAGTAGCTCTGCACAGAAGGACACGGGATGTCCTGGTGCACAACAAGCTAAGCATGAGCCAGCAATGTGCCCTTGTGGCCGAGAAGGCCAATAGTATTGTGGGTTGCATTAGGCGGAGTGTTGCCAGCAGGTCGAGGGAGGCGATCCTGCCCCTCTACTCCGCCCTGGTGAGGCCACATCTGGAGTACTGTGTCCAGTGCTGGGCTCCCCAGTACGAGAGAGACATGGCACTACTGGAGAGAGACCAGCGGAGGGCTACAAAGATGATGAGGGGACTGGAGCATCTCTCCTATGAGGAAAGGCTGAGAGAGCTGGGCCTGTTTAGCCTGCAGAAGAGAAGACTGAGAGGCGACTTCATCCATATCTACAAGTATCTGAAGGGAGGGTGTCAAGAGGATGGGGCCAGGCTCTTCTCCGTGGTGCCCAGCGACCCGACAAGAGGCAACGGGCACACACTGTGCACACAGGAAGTTCCGTCTGAACCTGAGGAAAAACTTCTTTCCTGTGAGGGTGACAGAGCACTGGAACAGGTTGCCCAGAGAGGTTGTGGAGTCTCCTTCCCTGGAGATATTCAAAACCCGCCTGGATGCGATCCTGGGAAAAGTGCTCTAGATGACCGTGCTTGAGCAGGGGTGTTGGACTAGACGATCTCCAGAGGTCCCTTCCAACCTCAGCCATTCTGTGATTCTGTGATTCTGTTAAAAGCCCTTCACATAAGTGGCAAAGAACTGATGACAAATCTTTTTGAAATAAAATAATAATCGTTTTGAAATAAGAACAAAAACAGCGTAGATTTTTAATATTGCAATGAAAATATAGGATAAAGATCTTAAAAAATTGTTCTTAAAGATAGTAGTTCTCTTTTACCCCTAGCCTTTGGTCCATTATTACTCCATTTATTTTACAAGAAAACCACAAATCCTGGCTATGGAGGACTGTTCAGATATTTCCAGATGGTTATTTCATCCTTATGTGTGTAATATACAAAATATGTAAATATTTAAGTAAATATGGAAGATGTGATGGATGAAAGTAGTGGCAGAAGTTGGCCTTAATGTTCACTTTGTAACATTTTCTGGTAATGTCCTTGCCTCTTTTCCATAGGTCTTTTTTGGAAGATGGCTGATAGAAGGCACACCATATGTCTTATTGTTTGATATAGGATCAGCAGCCTGGAATCTGGACAGATGGAAAGGCGAATTTTGGGATGTTAGCAACATAGGGATCCCTTTTCATGACCGAGAAGCCAATGATGCTGTGATTTTTGGATCATTAACAGCCTGGTTTTTAAAAGAGGTACAGTTTTTAAATCTAGAGGTTTTAAAACCTCAGCTTTGATAGCAGTGCAAACCAGCTTTGGGATGTGGCTGCTATTCTCCCTCCAGTTTGAAACCTGTGACTTTAAGAAAGTTGCTACTTGTTCTAGATCAAATTTGTATTCATATCTCAAATCTTAAGCAGTCAGTTAACAATATTTTTCTATGAGGTGCCCTATGTGCAATGTGATGCGTCTTTACTGTTATTTCCCCTTCTGTTTCTTCTTAACTCCCTTATTTGATACTGAATCCTCTTACAAGTAGGATCTCAAACTACCTTTTTCTGTCCTGTCTAGTCAGAGAGTTACACTCAGAAATGTCCCTGTAGCCAGTGAGCACTGTGTATCTTAGCTGTTAGGTACTACTTTGCACAAGGAATATAGACAGACAGTAGGAAATGATGATAGCATTGTGACTTCACGTATTACTCTACCACAGCCTACTTGAGGAGAGAAAAATTTGTTAATCTGGAGAGTCATCAGTCCATCAGAGGTGCTTATGATTTTCTTAGCCAATGAGATTTTCAACAGCAGAAGAGCAAATTGAAAAAATGAGTAATGACTGCGCTTACCAGAGCTCCACAGCACCGTAGGAAAGATTCTGTTCTGAGGCACTAACACAGCTTGTGCTTCTCCTTGGGCTAAGGGTTGGTGGAAGTTAAGATACATGCCCAGTTAAAACACTATTCTACTTTGTCATATGAAAGAAAGCAAGCACACAGAAGAAGGCATGGAAAAAGAAGTTTCTGAGGCTGGGGTGATGAGCAGGATTATGTGTGTTTCATCTGTTTTTTTTTCTAATTATTTTCAGCTTTCCTGTCAGTTTGATGACAAGCCCAACATAATTGCTCACTTTCATGAATGGCAGGCAGGAGTGGGTTTAATCCTCTCTCGATCTCAGAAACTTCCTGTCGCCACAATTTTTACTACGCATGCCACTCTTCTTGGAAGATACCTATGTGCAGCGAGTATAGATTTCTACAACAATCTTGACCAGGTGAGAGACTGTTTTTCTCATTCCCTCCATTTTCAACTAATCAGCCCCTGGTATCTTTTCTGTTTATTGCGCTACACCAAATATTATATTTTCTGTCTTGTGTCATCACTGGTGATTGTCCTACAGCAGTGATAGCTCATCGGTTCCAGAGCACAAGAAATGATATTAACTATTTCCAGATCCCTCAGGCCATGAGGTGTCTAGGTCTGAGTACCACTGTCTCTGTGACTGGTCTGAAACTCAGTGGAGCCAAGAGTGTTTACACCTCGTTCAGAGAGGTTTAAGTTACCAGATTTTACGTGGCAGAGAACTGCAGCTCATTCAGCTTCCAGTCAAGTCAGTGGTTTAGTCCAATCCATTAATTTATGAAATAAATGATGCAGCTCTACAGGGTTTGCCAGCTGAGATTCTTAACCTTCTTTTCAATAGTTTGAGAGATTTCAAAAGCAAGGGGAGAGTAGTTATGTGCCCAGTTATCACTGCAGGTCTAGTGCCTTTGCAAATCTTCCCTTTGTGTTCAGGAAAGGGAATTAACTCAGAGCCATGGATGATACTGTTTGAGACTTACTATAGCAGAATGAGTAAGCAGAATGTGTAAAACCCATTCAGCTGTAGTAATCATCTGACACTTCGGGTGCAGCCTCACAACACTCGTTCTCAATGAAAGACTGTAGGAAAAAATGATCAGTAGCCCTCACCTTGCTGAAATTACCCTAAGATGCTATTAAATGGTTGTTTTTTCTTTTCCCCAACCTACCTCTTAAATCTTTGTAAGTCATAAGAAGTTCTTCTACCTTCAAGCTTTTCAGACTAGACTTCATTTGTTAATGAAAAACATAGGAAGCATTTTCCTAGATTAAAATATCCACATCTGCTTCTCGGAATTTTTGTAAACTGACTAGTAGTTTTGGTTTCTGCTATTCTCTTTCCACTCAAAGCATAATGCAAATCAACATTTCAAGGACCTAAATGTCTTGAGCACTGCCCTCAGCAGAGGTGCACTGCATGATCTAGGATTTTCTAACGTGGTTATAGATGAACTGAGTTCAAGAGTTTTTTGCATTCCAGCTTTTATGGAGGAAAGAGGTAGTTAAAATGTTAAAACAACTGCTTCGTTCACTATCTCCATGCAATTCCTTGACCAAAGTCCGTGAAGAAGATGGCTGGGATGGCAATATATTTGATGTTTGTTCTACAGTGTGTCAAGCTTGTGTGTCTTCCAAAGGCAAGGCCCAAGCAGTAGTGTGTCACTGTCCTCATTCAGAAGAACAGAATAGATTACTGTTCCTTTGTAGTCAAAGGAAACAGTCATTCGCCTTCCTCCTCTTTTTTTTTTATTTTCTTTTTGTTTTCTTTACCAAAGTCAGCTACTGATTCTACTAAACATGCTAAGGGTAAAGGACTGGCTCTACTCATTTACTAATATGTACACAGGGCTGCAGCATGGTAGTTCAGGGGGAGTTCTCTCTACCCAATCTGAGGTAACTAACATAGGTGCCTCCTCCTCTTCCTAAGCTCCCTGTATCATCAACAGAGTTACGTTGGCCCTTCCAGAGTCAGTGTAAGGCAAGCATCTTCAAATTATTATCTAAAAGATCTGTCTCCTTACATCACCTAGGAAAACTAGTACCCTAATTTAGATACCTTTGTTAGGTACATTAATGAGGCAGCACAAATAACCCAGTGATGCTGTCAGACCCAGGTTGCAGTAGTCTAGACGTTCTTACCCCCTCATATTCAGCTAATATGCATATATGAAAGCTAGTTTTAAGTTGCATTAAATTATTTTCTTCTCTGAACAGAGCTAAAATGAAAGAACATGCAATTTCAATGTTAATGCTTGAGAAAGGGGGGAATTTTCAGCAGTAACTTTATTAATTGATCTTTGCATTCTTACACATAACCTGTAAATAAAGAAACCACAATAAAAAACATGCATTTTAAAATGAGTAATTAGAGTGAAAAATAAGAATGCCCATAGTTTTACAGAATGGTGTTAGAAATACTATGTCAGAGATTTTCCCTACCTTTGTAAGGGAAATTCTAAGATTTTTGATTTGTTTTGTTTTGTATTCTGGTTAATTTGGTGAGCTATAAATAGCCTGGCCAAAATAGCCTGACCTTCTCAAAAGCAATATTTTTTTACTGCATGATAATTCTGGGGTCCTCAGCCTTGCCTGTGTACTAAAAAGAAAGTCATGATCTTCATCTGAACAGAGTTACAGATTTCATTGTATTTATATACTAGTCACAGTATTCATATTCTTCATGCTGCTCACACATGACATGGCCAACTTTATTTGATAAAGTACTGTCCATCCCATGGCAAAGCTTTAGAAATCTCTTTAGTAACTATCACCTATCTGATAAATACAAAAATATATATTCAGCTTTTTTCTAAGAATACATCGAATGAAACATATGTATCTGTTTAAAACATTATTATAAAATGCTGTAAATATAATTCAAGGGAGGAGACTTGTGGATTTCTATACTGTAATCCTTTATGCCTTTTGTGTAGAGATTGACATTTAAAGGCACTAATACAGGAAATTATGCCAAGCTGTTACACTATTGTTTCACAAGCTTGCAGGGTGCTAAATCTCTTCCTGACAAAGTTAACATTTACTAGGAGATCAGCTGTCTTAATGAAGGCTCCTTTGGCTATAAAAAGGTCAACCTCGCCTAAAAGCCAGTTGAGAAACATAAGGGATTGATCTAGAGTACAGCCATTAAATTATAAAGATAGGCAAGTCTTCAGAGGATATTCTTGTTGCTGTCTTCCTGTAGTAAACTATTAAGGTCGAACAAGTGATTTGTCCAGTGATAAAGATTCTCCAGGGCTTCCTAATGTTTAACCTTTGGATGAGACAATATATTTTTAAAGGGCATGTCACTTTTTCTCCTCCTTCTTAAGTATATTAGCTAGTTTTCCTATTTCAGGACAATTGCATAACTTTTTCCTTTAAAGCATGACAATAAATTAATTTAAACTCTCACTTTTGATCAGAAATTCATGGTTAGAACATATTTTCCACCAGCTTTAAGCACAGCAGCTGAGATGGGTGGGAAAAGTGCAACTCTGGTATGTGCTACGCCAGAGACCACAGGCAAACAGTTGCAGTGCCAGAGCAAAGTGAATGGTCTAGTAGTGCCTGGAGACAGACAGGCATACACAGGTCCTACAGAGAAAAGAGAAAATCTTATATTCTCTTTTCTAGTCCCCCTTTGCTAGTCCCCAACACAGTCCAAAGAAAGCTGTGTTTGAATACCTGCTAGAGAGAGCTTCGCTCAATTCTCTGAGACCTGCAGTGTTGAAGTCCTCCACAGTCCTTTCTCTCTTTTCATAGTGTCGCAGGTGCTGTGTGTGTGTGTGTGTGCGTGTGAGCAGTATGTTCTTCTTTCTCACTCCACTCTCTTCTGCTGACCCTAATAATGCAAAACATTCTCAAATTGTCCTCCACTGTCCGTTGCCCTGCTCCCTCTGCACGCACACATGCACACATACGCTGTAGCACCTTTTCACCTCAGTTCTACACCACCTCTGTTGATAAACAGGACCAGAAGATACAAGCTGCTTTGAAGGTCTTTTTTTTAAATATGAAGGATTACTGAGGTTTTGTTTCTTTCTCAGATTCCACGGTGGAAACTACCATTTTGATTCACCTTCTTAAGAAAGATCAGTATGTGCCAACTGACACAAATATCAAATGTATTTGCTGTAGTAAGCTATTGAGTTCAGTAGCTTTAGAGCACAGATGACTTTGGCCCAAGTGCCATCCTCCTTGAAATGAATATCAGCATCACGGATTATGCAAAGGGCTGTGCAGTGTTACATTGTGATGCATGATTCATCACTCCTGAAACCACTTAGAGGCCTGAACTGTAGGCCACCAGAACTGAAGAGAGGATTCTTTGTTTCATAAACTGTTGTCAATCTGTGAGTTTCAGCAGGCTGTTTTCGGGACTTGGGAACGCGAGAGGGGATTTAACAATCAGTTCATGTATAAGTAGCGCCAATGTTATGGAATTGGTGTTGTGAATAGTGACCAGATCTAAATGGTGGGAAAGGGAGAGGAGGCTATGTAGCCTGAGTGCTGTCACGTGTTGCAGAAGTGTACCCCACAAAGACCAGAACAAATAGGGGACTGAAAACCTCTTCAGCCTGCTAAATTGGAGCTGTAGATTGCTGGAGGCTAGGAGAGTACACTAGGGACATAACACTAACACTGGTTCTGGGCCTCTCCTGAGTTTTCTGCTATTTCTCAATCAGAGACAGGATACTGGTTCTCATGCAGTATTACCATATGAGAATATACAGTTCCTATATGCTTATAGACTTAGCTCCACTGCATCGGGAGGAGCTCAGCTGTTCCTGCTGCACTGCAAAAATGAGGGACAAACACTTAACAAAGGGCACAGGAGCACAGTTAGGAGTAACACTACTGTCTCCTCAGCAGCATGTAATAGCAACAGATAGGCTGTGTCTGACCTAAGAATTCCTGAGGTAATAACTGTATAACAGCTGTTCTGTGTACATTTTATTTATTTACTTGATTCACATTTAAATCACCCTGATGGTGAAGGGAGGAAGGCACAGAAAGTGAAAAGAACAAAACAGAAAGTGACTTGAACTGTAGCTGCTGTTACTGCAGTTATCATGCTGTGTGTGATATTTTTCCTTACTTTTAAGCATCCTAAGAAGTCTGGGTAAAGGCTGGGTCAGGGACTGTTAACTCTGCCTACAGGTTACTGGCTTGAATTCTTACAAAGTCAACACTTTCTAATTTCAGTAATAAGCAGGGCATGTTCTGAGCTTAATTCCCAACAGAGATATTATCACAGGTTTAACTATGCTTAAGATGTTTTGCAGGTCTAAATAGTCCAACCAATAGCCCACTCTCTCCCAGTGTCGGCAGGTCCAGTGTAGTTTTCACTTCACAAAACTAAAGTTTCATTTGTTGCTAGGAAAACAACCAAAATAGCTAATCTAGGAGGTA